TTCCACACAAAGCTAGGGAGCTGCATTATCAAGTACTGTCAATGCACAGGCACATTTAAAATCTTACACTCTCCATAGAGCCCACTACAAATGGCTCCAACACTATTAGGCTATCCCTAGAGTAGAAAGTTTTTTCCTCTTTACCACATGGCAACTTAAACAATAAATGTTCCTTTATGGAGTATGTACTGTAAAAACTCATTAACAGTCAGTCTGTTTAGCTTAAGAAATTAAATCAAATTAGCTGTGACATTGCCTGTTAGATATTGTCCATTTCAAAATCTTTTCCAACATCCAGCCACAATTTTCAATTATACAAAAGGATCGTACTTTTATATTATCTGGTCTCTTTAAAACCTTTTCAAGGCTAACAAGATAGGGGCCATATAACTTTACCTGGACATATGCTATAGCTCTAATTCTGAAGTGCCTTGGATATTTACTAAGGCTTCAGAGAGGTTTCAGTTACAGTCCCTAAATGGACTGGTTTATGAAGAAAACTGGCTCTTTATGATTAGCGCCATAAGAATTCTTTTAATGTTTTATGATGAAGCCTGTAGTGACAGAACCATGCTTCTAAGGAGTATGAACAGGATCTCAAGAACTCTGATATTTACCTTTGTTTTTTGTAAGTGGGCTTTGCTCAAATGCCTGCCGCAAGAACAAGCAAGGCTGTAATCTAAAAGGTCTCTGTTTCTCTGATTTAATCACAAATGGGACAGGCATCAAGTGGGAACCCCACAAATAACCTCATGGTCCAACTTCAGCATACTGAGACCCAGTAGTCGAACAGACTGAAAGTTAGGACAAAATATGTATAAGTTTCCAGAAGCTTTAAATTATTCAGGATCAATTTCTCTAAAATGAACACTGACCCAAATTCAGAGAGTCTCTAAATTAGTGCAATTTACACCTCCTTCCCACTCCCAGAGCACATAACTTGGACTCCTCCATACTTACTAGACTCATCTCACTTGCCAAATTACAACTTAATATGAAAAAAAATCATGTTTCAAGAACCACTTTGGACTGGAGTTTGACACAGCTTTTTCCCCCAAACGATGCATCAGAGGGGGCCTGTAGGGTAACTTAGAATGCTCAACAAACATGAACAGACCACTTATCTTGCAGGTGTACTAATGTCCTTGACCGAATTTCTCTGCTAAAAATTATCCTATAAATTGGTTAGTCTCTAAGGTGCCACAAGTACTCCTTTTCTTTTTGCGAATACAGACTAACACGGCTGCTACTCTGAAACCTATGGATCTTGAGGCCTAGGTTTTACCCAATGGAAAGTAGATTTCTGATTAAGACAATTATCTCAAGACAATAACTTTGGATATTTTATTTCTTCTTCACATAGGACAACAAAGTCATGGTTATTTCCTCAAAACCTCAGTTCTTTTTACTCTTATCTTTTCTGAATTTTCACTTTATGCCATGCTTTCTTTCTCCTCTATTACAGGATAGTAGAATAATGCTAATACAATGTCCTGTGATCTGTAAATTGAGGAATAAATCCTGCGGATGCTTATAATTCCATCTTAATTCCACAAAAATTACAGCATTTATTGCCAATGAGATAGGCTCCTACTGGAAAAAGCTCCAGAGCATACACAATAGCTGAGAAACCATTTAAGAGGATCAAGATGCTTTTTAAAAAGGCATTTAAAGGACCACTATTATTAAAGTCGCACTTTTGCCTGAAAAGTATAACCCGTTGTGACGAGTAACCCTTAAGATTAATAGAACAAAGAAATTAGAAAAAGTATATTACATGCACAGGAATAGAAATATTTTTTCAGTTGTTTAGTTTGGGTATAATCAATTTTACTGATTCCCATATAGGGTTAATCAGTTTTCTTGTGTGAGTAGAGAAAAACATTTTAAAAATAGGAAAAAGTGATTGTAAAGATGACAGGAGGACTCAAATGGATACAGCACCCTGAACTACTTTTAACTCATTTTTTTAAAATGACTATATTTCCAATTCAAATTCCAACCCGGGAATTGGCTTTTGGAGCACAACACCTAAAGTTATATGATCTAGAAATATAAATACCTAAACTCAGGTGGCTGACTTTATCCATCTCAATACATGGCTCACTGATGTTGCTTCCACTTTTATAGTAGTAAAGTTAAAACTCAAAGATAAACCTTGCTGTTGAAGCTCTGAAATTAACTCAGTTCTTGCTGCTTTTTGGTTCAGGTCTTTATGGATACAACAGTTCTTGCCATTTTAAACAAGTTTTAGAGTCTGTGATAGTTATTAAACTGTTACTTAATGCCAAAAGCCTTCGTGAATGCCTTGCTAAAGTAGCTCCCCACACAGGCTGCTTCAGCAAGGCATTGTAAGGCACCTTAGGCTGCAAGGTAATGGTGACACAGCGCCCCACCAGTCTGAATTGTACTCTGGTATGTCATATCCCTCACTGCAGAAGAGTAAGCTAATATCAGTGCAGGATTTCCATACAAAAGTTTGAGTTCCTTGTATTTTCTGAGAGATTATGGTCAACACTGCTCAAATATTCCCCAACTTTTTGAGAAGCACTAAAAAAAATAAAATAAAATTTTGGACTACCACTTATTCCCAAAAAAAATCCACAAACAATGGAATATCTGCCTCGAAGCTGACAGATGAGATTGAGCTAAAGAAGGATATTTTAACAAATGTGAAGTGAATTAAAAAGGGGGGTCAAGAATTATCACACATGCAAAACTGTTCCCTAATGTTCAAAATAGTTTGCTTACTTCTCCCCCCACACACCTTGTAGCAAAGCTGTACGAGATACAGATTTTTTTTTTAAACAGTTTACTGGCTCCATCTAGTAGCAATCTAATACATATGACTAAAGATTAGGCAATAAAACTAGTTTTGAAAGTTGACAACTATTTAAATAGTAATGTCAGAAAGGCACATCAGCTCTAATGGTCTTAAAATAGATTGACCTTTTCCAAGTGGAGATTGATGTGAACATGTAAACTGATCACTAAGTAAAATCATCCATGGAGAAAGGATGCTTTAATCCACCAAAAATGAAGTTAGTCCGACAAGCTGTTTGCAACCTAAGACATTTTAAAAAGCAGTGGTCACCCCAGATACAAAATACTTCCTACCACATCTTTGTTTGCAAATGAAGATGGAGAAATAATTAAAATTGTTTTTTAGATTCATCTTTCTGACAGGGGAGATATGCATCCCTGTTCTGCTGCTATGACAAGTTCCCAACTACCCCACTATATCCACTTCCTGCACACCCTGTAATTCCATGTGTCCATCAGTTAAGCAACTCTCATAGACACTAACTGTGTCTCTCCCATGTACAAACCTCATAGTAGGCCTACTTACATGAGAAGGACAAAGGTTAATGCATGGACAAAGCATCAGACTTCAGTGTCAGAGATATGTATGTAGGAAAAAATACAAAATCAATCCTTGTGGTGCACATTTTCAGGACTCAAGAGGCAAAAAAGGAACGGCACCTCTCCAGAGTAGAATAAAGGTATTTTGCAGAATTTAATTATGAATGTCCATACCTCCAAATATTTCAGTTTCTTCTAACTTTAACCTTCACCCTGAGTTCCCCAGGGGAGGCATTTGGGAGGTGGCTGGGGGAGCAGATTGTTTTTAATTTTAACCAACTATTTTGTTCTAGTAAGGACTTTTATCCTTCAATTATTGTTATGCAGTCCCAAACATCTGCATTTTAAAGTTTTTTTGAATGAATTATCTGAAGCTTGTATGGGAAATTAATCAAATTAGATAGCACATCGCAGGGGTGGCCAAAGTGTGGATCGAGAGCCACATGGGGCTCTTTTACCATTGAAGTGCGGCTCATGGAGCCCCCCACACCTCTGTCCATTCTCCACCTACCAGACTGGGTGTGGGGAGCTTGGGACCTCTGCCTTGCAGCAGAGTGGTGGGGTAGGGGCTTCTGCACAGCAGGGAGGAGGGTCTCGGGGCTTCAGCAGGAGTGGGGCTAAAGCCCTGAGCTCAGTCAGGCACCTCCCACAGGGCTGAAGCAGGTGTGTCCTGGCTCTCAACTTCTAAAGATTGTCGTATACAGCTTGGAGGGTCAGTAAGTTTGGCGACCTCTGGCATATCCCTTTGTAATTACTTCTATCACTTGTCTATAATCACCTCGAATCATTCCACAAAATAAGACAGTCTCAGCAAACACAACGGGAACATTCCAGAGACTGTACCAGTGAGTCACAAGCTATTTCTTGATATTAACACTACGACTGGCCCTTGCCTGGCTTGTTCCAGTATTTGTTCCCATTCCGTCCTGATTTAATCTTGTTCAGCTTGAATTTAAAATCCCTTTGCTGAAAAATCTTTTCTATCTAAGAGCAGACCGCAAGCCTCACCAAGTGTTAGTAAATTTAGGACACTGCCCTATCTTATTTGAATTAGGATGAGGTGGAAGCAAGGACTGGGAAATCACAGGCATTGCTTTTTTCAGATATGGTCTAATTGAAGATTTTCTGGGGAATCCCCTATTGTTTAATCCCTATACACCAGATCAAGTAATTGCAATCTCTTCATTTACTTTGAATTATTACTCTCTCAAACCATGTGCTTGGTCATTTTTTTGAAAACTGGCAGGGGGCCTGTCTCCTCGTTCAGTTGTTTTGTACAACAACTGATCAGCAGTACCTCACCTCTAAAGGTGAGGTCTTGGAATCACTCCTCAAACTGAAAGCAAAAAGTTTGTGTCCACAGATCACCATCGAAGAGAAAACACTCCTTAGGTCAATCTGGTAGGAAATATTTCTGTAACACTAACACTTCTCTAGGGCACAACTCATTTCAAGTAAATCAGAGCGAGAATCACCAACTGCCCGAAGGAACCAAAAACAGAGGCAAAACTATGTGCAGAATGGAAGAGACAAAGTATTCCATCCCACTGAAATACGTGAACTATTGGAACCCGCAACTGGAACTATGGACTATACCATACTTGCCTTGAGAAGGCCATAATAAATTTGTGACTGACCTGTGTACATATAGGTGAGATTTATTTTAAGTTTTGCTGGAGAACTAATCCAATTTGGGGTAATTAAAGATGTACATGAAAGTATGGCATCCTCCTACAGAAGAACTCACAGCAACTCCACATCAATGGTGGGAGGAATTCTGGTGAGCTCACCTATCAGTGGCTCTAGACAAAAAAAAAAAAAAAAAAACTTCTTAGCTTTTATGATTGGGAACGTAATAGTGTTGTCTTCCTGACTCTGCTGGGAGATCTCAAGAGCACAGCCTGAGTAGCCAAGGTGTTCGCTGGATAGTTCTTTGGGGGACAAGATGTCCTCCCCTCCTCAGAGCACTCTGTGGCACTGAAGCTACTACATGTTTGTTACTCCAGTCTCAGGTTAAAGTAGCTTCTGTGCCTTCCACCCATGACACATAACAGAAATGGCCAATAAACTTCAGCAGAAAGATAGAGGCTCCACAAGATGAGCTTCTGTGGCCAAAGACAAGTGGTAGGATCTGTTCCTCCAAGAGGCAACCTGCCTCCTTTCACATCTACGGGTGTAAGCGCTGAAGCGGCTGTGTTCATTTTACCCTCCAACGAAGTGCTTGTCAAGAACTTTCCCAAGGTTTCATCCATGTTCCACTCATCATTATGGGCAGCAGGTAAGATAGTCTCAGAATGATTTGGAAAGACCGTGAAGAGATGCTCAATATACCCAGAAAATACTATCAGCATAAAAGAGCCAACTTCCCAACTGTGATCGCTTTGCTAACTTAGTCATGTTGAGTAATTAATTCACATTTTAACCATGATCCCTTAAAAACATTAAAGACCTTTAACAAAAATTAAAGCAAGGGTTGTAGGGAGTGGGGCCACGGAGGACATCTGCGGGGGGGGGGGGGGGGGTGAGAGCCTCCAGGTTATGGGACACTGAACTGGGGGTGATTCCCCAGAGGACGGAGGGAGGATGCCTCCCGGGGGTTAGGGGTCGGCTCCTCAGCAGGGAAGGGAAGCAGAGGGAGATGGCTCCCTGGGAGAATGGGCAGGACAGTAAAGGAGACTCCCCAAGGGCAGAGGGGAGATGGTGCCCCTGGGGACGGGGAATGGGGGGGTGGCTCCCCAAGGGTACGGGGGGGGCGAGGCCGGGGTGGGACGTCGTGGGGAGCCCGCTCGCGGGGGGGGGGCTGCGCTGGGGAGCCCGATGCTCCCGGGAGGCGGGGAGGGCCAGTCCTGCCCGCACTTACCGGGTGCCTCCGTCGATCACACACAGGGGCAGGACGCTCGCCATGCTCGGGAGGCGGCGGCGGCGGCGGCACCCCAGACCCTACACGCCCCCGAGGCTGAGCCCGCGCCAGCCGCTGCCTGCCGGCTCGCTCGGCCCCCACCGTATCGGCGCAGGAGCGAAACCGGGCACCACGCAGCCGGCTGACAGCGCCGCCTTCAGGACGCATGCGCCGCGCACGCGCACGCCACGTGACCCGGCTTCCCCTGCCCGCTGAGCGGGCCCTGTCCCCATAGGCCCAGGGCAGCGCTGAGGGCCGGTCTCGCGCGGCAGCCCCTCCCAGCGCCCCGCGCCAGGGCGGGAAAGACAGAGCCACCCTCCCCTCTGCACGTGACGGGACGCCCCTTAGCTTGGTGCCCGTGGGCCTGCCACCAGGTACAGGCCATGTCGCCTAAGGCCCAAGGTGCATCGGGTCAGCTCAAAAGCATCTTTTTCAAGCAGTAAGCTCTGCAAAGGATGCAGTGGGGATGTAGCGTTTCCTGGCACTGTAATGTGGTGGGTGCCGACCCATTTCAAAATAAACTCTGCCTCATTTTGCATTTTTTCAGTGAAGCTGAGGTTTCATAATCAGTTTCGGTCATGGGCACTAACCCTTTATTAAATCATACAAATCTTGTCCTGTGTTTCTTTAGGTGTAGGTGGGTACCCTACAGTACAACACCCTCCAATTGAACCCACAGTATCTTAATCACAGGTGGTATTTGGCACACTAAAAAAAAGTATAACACTTTCCAGAGCAGTCTCATCTTCCATGCAAATATCTCAACATGCTTGAAAAAAAATGATGAATTAAGTTTCAACACCCTTATCATCTAGGGGGTTATTAGCCACCACTTCACAAACGGGGAAATGTCTTATACTTGCAGGGCCGGCTCTAGGGTTTTTGTCGCCCCAAGCAAAAAATTGCTGCCCCAAGCTCCGAGAGCGCAACTGCCCAAGCAAAAAAAAAAAAAAAAAAAAAGGTGGTCCGCCCCTGGAATTGTGCCACCCCAAGCACATGCTTGCTTTGCTGGTGCCTAGAGCCGGCCCTGCTGTATACCTGTGACTTATCCATGATCATACTACAAGTCCGCTAGAGCTAGAACCCACATTTCTCTGACTCCAATGCTCTCTACGCTCAATGCTTAACCACAAGACCCACCTTCTTTCTAGTAAGGGTATGGTGTTTTATCACCCTCTCTTCAACCTCCAACTCCTTATGCAAAAGCTCACACACAAAGAGAATTGGGGTTTGTATTTAAAAAACAAAAAATTGCTCTCCGAGTTGTAGGAATTCCATATGTTCAGGCTCATAAAAAATATGCTATGCATGTAGCTTGTTCAGTCACTTAACATAGACTGAATGTACGCCTACACATAAACCACTACAGCGCTGTGCCACTGTAGCACTTTGAAGACGACGCTACTTACGTTAACAGGAGGGGTTCTCCCATTTGCATACCCACCTCCCTGACAGGCAGTAGCTACTTTGAGGGGAGAACTCTCCCGTCGACTTAGCGCTGTTTATACCAGAGTTTAGGTTGGTTTAACTGCATTGCTCAGGGATGTGGATATTTCACACCTCGGGTGACATAGTTATACCAACCTAATTTCCTCGTGTAGACCAGACCCGAGAGTATTCACTCCGTATGCTTGCTCATGCCATTTTTCTCACAAATGTTGGAAGATATGCTCATCTACCATAACATGATGGAAGCCAGTCAAATTTAGTGTGCTGGAAGGGCTGTCTTAGCAATTTAAGCAGTCAGTATAAAATATCTATACGCCAGAAATACAGATTCAAAGCCTGATAGGGATCACCCAGCCTCCTTTGAAAGTAGTCCAAGGCATTGATTAAAGATCAAATAATATGAGAATAGGGATTTGCCCTACTTCCTTGACTAAAATTTTCTCTCCCTCACAGTGTTGTGTAATATGTGGTGCAGAGCTGAGAAAAAACTGCCATGCATCCATAGGGGCACCTCTGAATAGATCAAGGGTGGGCAAACTTTTTGGCTTCAGGTCCACATCTGGGTGGGGAAATTGCTTGAAGGGCCATGAATGTAGGGCTGGGACAGGGGGTTGGGGTGCAGGAGAGAGTGCAGGGTGTGGGAGGGGGTGCGTTGTGCAGGAAGCGGTTCAGGGAAGGGGTTTGGTGTGCAGGAAGGGGTGCACAGTGCAGGACAGGGCTCAGGGCAGTGGTGCAGGGAGGGGTGTGGAGTGCGGGATGGGGCTCAGGGCCGGGGGTTGGGGTGCAGGATAAGTGCAGGGTGTGACAGGAGGCTCAGGGCAGGGGTGCAGGCAGGGGGCTCAGGGCAGGGAGTTGGGGTGCAGGTTGCTGCAGGGGGTTGGGGTGCAGGCACAGGGCAAGGAGTTGGAATGCGGGGTGCAGGAGGGGTTCGGGCTCCGGCCCGGCACCGCTTACCTAAAGCGGCTCCGGGGTAGGAGCGGCATGCGCTGGGGCCAGGGCAGGCTCCCTGCCTGCCTGCTCTGGCCCCAGCCCCACACCACTCCCCTGCAGCCCCAGGGGGAGGAGGGGCAGAGAGCTCTGCGCACTGCACTTGCCTGTTGATACCTTCCTTGAAGCTCCCATTGGCCGGGAACAGTGAACCGCGGCCAATGGGAGCTTCAGAGGAGGTATCAACAGGCAAGTGCACCACAAGGCGCTTTCTGCCCCCCTGCACCCCAGAGCTGCTGGGACGTGGTGCCGGCCTCTTCCCAGAGCGCCCGGGGGTGGCAATCCCATGAGCCGGATCCAAAGCCCTGAGGGGCCAGATCCAGCCCGTGAGCCGTAGTTTGCCCACCCCTGGTATAAATACTAACCTTTTCTCTAGAATCTCAGCATTCTTATTTTTTTTTTAAAGTAAGACTCTAAATGTTAAGGTTGTGGAGAAAAACCTCAAAAATGTGAACCAAATATAACTGATATAGAGATGAGACAGCAGAAAGCCTGGAACAACTGTGTCATTGATCTGTGACAATTTAAACCAGCTGAGGATCTGCCCCATGAGCTCTGAGAGGTATGATCTGCCTCATTCTTCTCAATGAGGTATTACCCAGTGACAACAATTTAAATGCCAACATTGTTAACTCTTTCATTCCTCATGGAGTGAAATAGAATGGAGAGGGAATCTCTCTGGTCTGGACAATTTACTGTAAGTTAAGTCTTCTTTTGGTGCCCCAAGTGGATGGGATTTGGGAGATACCACTGCTTCCCCTCCCTTTCAAAGGGTCAAGACCAAGGGCCTGTAGAGCCCCTGGGCATAGATACACAGATTTTAAGGCCAGAAGGGACCATTTTGATCATCTAGTCTGACCTCTTGCATAACACAGGACATAAAATTTTACCTAGTATTCAAACTGCATCAAGAGGGAGCCAGATTTTAAAAAGGAACCAAGCAGCACAGACTATCATATTTTGAATATCTGCAAATCTACTGTGTGTGTTGTCTCATGTTTGCGATTCATAGGATGGAGCTATTCTATTCTAAAGAGGTTCCCATACAATCCTCATCGCTGTAGTATGAGTGTCTTCCAACAGAGTATTAAATCACATGACTAACATTTCTCATGTATTGTTTGTTCTTACAATTATCCCTCTGAGAAGAGGATAAAAGAGGGTGTAGTGTTTTGTACACACTGCTCTGTGTTTATATTAGAGAAGGCAGGATGAAGAAGTGCACCTTGTACTTGGAGCAGAAAGTCATGAGGTTAATCGTGATCTTTAGTTCCCGTGAGCATTTGTTTCACAGTCTTAGACCAGCCCGCAACAAAGCTTTGTCTCCTACACAAACAAGGTTTATCCTTATAATAGACAGTTCCATTGTACCTGAGGAGGGAAGTTGCCAGCAACAGTCTTCATCCTGGAGCTTTAAGCGATCTTTTAGATATGCTGGGACCAGGCCATTTAATACTTTGAAGAGAAGGACCAAGACCTTGAATTTGACTCAATATTCTGTAGGAAACCAGCGAAGAGAGCAGAGAACAGGTCTGATGCGTTGCTAAGGCGATGTACTACAGCATTATGTACCAGCTGGAGTCTCCAAAGGGCTGATGGTTTCCTGTCCAGGTATATTGCATAGCTGTAATCCCATGACAAGGTGATGAAGGCTTTTATAACTGAGGCCAGGTCACCATATGCCAGGAAGAGATGGAGTCTCCTAGCCACCAGAGGTGGTAGAAAGAGTTACTCAGGAATGCTGTTATGTGACAGCTTAGCAGCACCCAGCAATCCAAGAATACTCCTAAACTAAGGACAGAATTGACTAGTTGTGGGTGTGTACTTTCAAATAAAGGAGACTGTACAGTGGCTGCAAACTCTTCAAAATGTTTTCCCTCTTGCTTGGGTTCATGCAGCTGTTCTTCATCCATGAGCTGATCTTATCCAAGCACTATGCCATCTTGGTCACAGTGGTGTGGTCAGATGTGGTTAAGGATAGGGTGAACTGTGTGACATCTGCTTATTGCTGGCTGTGAGTTCATGGCACCTGACCAGTTTGGCTGCATGAAGATGTTGAATAGGACCAGGAAGAGAATTGATCCTTGTGGGACTCCACAAGCAAGGGATCTAGTGGCAAATGTGCAATTTTCCATCACTGCTGTTTGGGTGCATCCCTCTAGAAAGGAGTCAAACCCTTTTAGTGTATTCCCATGGACACCTGCCCCCGCTCAGGTGGAACAGCAGAATCTGGATGCGGTAGGCTGGAAGAGTACTACCACATATACCTGAGGCTGTGTGCTGGCTGACTGCTTTAATTTGTTTTGTTGGCGAGTGGCAGAGTACTACAAAAAACAGAGAGAAAAGTATAATAAAAAAATCTGGACAAAAGGCATCTTGGCACTATTTATTTACACTTTGTTCTGGCGAGTACAGGGTGACAATCCAATTCTGGTGGACATTATCAGATACATGTTCTGTGAATTACTTTCAAGTCATTTACACCATACCCTACATTTTCATTGATCTGACCAGCAAAGCACCATATTTTTTGCCTTAGTCACAAAGATTTGATTGCAGCTTCAGCTGGTACAGACTTCTTGTTTTCTTGGTAGCAAAAAATAAAAGACAAAAAAATTAAAGAAGTAGGTACACAAAAGACAAAGTTATATTCCTGATCAGCTGAAATATGAGGTCCGTTTGGAGACATAATTGCAGATGTTGTGCAGCTGTCACCATACAATTCTTAGGAAAGGCTGTCA